AGATGGCTTCCTGGAAGTCCACAGGCACCTACGTCAACGAGGTCCCCCCACCTAGGGCGAACATCGTCAGTGGCATGTGGATTTTCAGGGTGAAGCGGCCGCCGGGTTCTCCGCCTGTCTTCAAGGCGCGTTACGTGGCTCGAGGCTTCAGTCAGCGGCAGGGAGTTGACTATTTTCAGACCTTCTCTCCCACCCCGAAGATGACCACTCTTCGGGTGCTGCTGCACATAGCCGCTCAGCGCGACTACGAGCTTCACTCTCTTGACTTCAGCACAGCTTTCTTGCAGGGCAGCCTGCACGAGGAGATCTGGCTGCGCCGCCCACCTGGCTTCACTGGGTCGTTTCCTCCTGGTACCCAGTGGAGCCTCCGGCGGCCAGTCTACGGTCTCCGCCAGGCGCCCCCTGAGTGGCACGACACACTGAGGACTACACTTGCGGCTCTTGGGTTTGCTCCTTCTACTGCCGACCCGTCGCTGTTTCTACGCACCGACACCTCTTTGCCGCCGTTCTACATCCTCGTGTACGTCGACGACTTGGTCTTTGCCACAGCTGACACTGCTGGACTCGCCCACGTGAAGTCCGAGCTGCAGAAGAGACACACGTGCACAGACCTGGGTGAACTGCGCAGCTACCTTGGCTTGCAGATCACCCGGGACAGAGCACAGCGCACCATTACCCTGACTCAGTCACACATGGTGCAGCAGGTCCTTCAGCGCTTCGACTTCACGTACTCCTCGCCTCAGGCCACTCCTCTGTCTACTCGCCACTCGCTCTCAGCTCTGCCTTCGGATGAGTCCGTAGAGCCGAGTGGCCCGTACCCAGAGCTTGTTGGCTGCCTCATGTACCTGATGATCTGCACTCGACCCTTGCATACCCTCTTAGCATCTTGGCACGCTATGTTGCTCCTGGGAGACACCGACCAGAGCACATGGCTGCCGCGAAGAGGGTGTTGCTTCTTGGGCTGACGACCAGGCTACGCAGCGGTCGTCACAGGGTTACACCTTCAGCCTTGGTTCCGGCTCTGTTTCGTGGCGGTCTACCCGCTCGTCTTCTGTTCTCGGCTCCAGCTGTGAGGCTGAGATCTACGTGGGGGCCATGGCTGCACAGGAGCTACGCTGGCTCACCTACCTGCTGACTGACCTAGGAGAGCAGCCTCGTTCTCCTCCAGTTCTGTACGTAGACAACAAGGCCATGCTGGCCTTGTGTCGGGAGCACAGACTGGAGCACAGAACGAAGCACACTGCTCTTCGCTACTTCCTTGCTCGTGAGCTGCAGCAGCGTGGTCAGCTGCGCCTTGCTTACGTGGCCTCTCAGGCCAACACTGCTGATATCTTTACCAAGGCACTTCCGCCTTGTGATCATCAGCACTTTTGTACGATGCTAGGTCTTGTGCCTACTTGGTCTCACTTGCTCACTTCTTGACCTTGCTTGTACTGTGATCTATCTATACCTGCGCTTACTTGTTTACCTTTATATATAATCTTGCATGTGAACTGGCCTTGTGGCCTTGAACTTGTGCTCGGAATGTGTGGTGACGTTGTGATCCACCCTGAGCTTACTGTGCTTTGCTTGACTGGTCTTGTGACCTCTTGTTCTCCCCCACTTTGCCTATGGGGGTGTGTCAAACTTATATGCTATAGTCTGTGTAGGCTGTAGTGGGGTAGACAATATGGGGTACAATACTTTTAGGTTTTCCTACTTGTACCCACCTGTTTCCTAGTGCATTCACTTCCTCGTTCTTTCACACCTCTGTCACCTGCCGACCCGACCTTTCGTACATCGCTAGTCAACTGGCGCAGTACTCCCGCAAGCCAGTAGCTGAGAACCAGCTGGACCTGGAACGCGCCCTGCAGTACTTCATCTCCACACCTGACATTGGGCTCTCCTACTCCACGCTGACGACGACCTCCTTCAACCTCAACGGTTACGTGGACGCAGACCATGCAGCTGATCCTGCAAATCGACGGTCCCGAACCGGCTTTGTTTTTCGCCTGGAACCAACTGGGCCAATCTCCTGGAACTCACAAAAGCAGGAGCTGGTTGCCCTGTCGTCGGCCGAAGCAGAATACATCGCCGCGACAGCAGCAGTTCGCGAAGGCCTGTACCTGCAAGAATTGCTACAGGAGGCGAAAATTCCAACTTCGCCCACCTTTCGCCTTCACTGCGACAACCAGAGTGCCATCAGGATCGCGAACAAGCCCAGTTTCGTGAACCGCACGAAGCACATCGCGCTTCGGTATTTTTTCATCAAGGACGAAATTGACCAAGGCAAAGTTGACCTCGCCTACTGCCCGACCACCGAGATGGCAGCAGACTTCCTCACCAAGCGCTTGCCACGTCAGCAGTACAAGCACTGCTCTGACCTCACCGGAGTAGTCAATCGAGTCAGCTCCCTCTGCGCCCAGGAATGAAGGGGAGTGTTACGATATGAAGTTTTATGAGTAAGGCATTCCTGTACGCTGCAGGAAGCCGACTCTACCGAGTACGAAGTCGAGGAGTCAGAAGAGTCGAAGCGACACAGCAACCGTCTGACCAAGACCGATGCAGGCAGAAACATTTGAAATGAAAAGAGCGGGAACAGGTTCAAAACGGGTTCCCGCGCCGCACAGTTGAAACTCGCTGTAATAAGGGAATGTACCCCTTAGAGTACATGGCTAGTCTAGGTCTTTTCGTATTCCCCTGTACTCTTATATAAACTCGATGTATGCATGCTATTATCAACTCAGTCATTTACATTCACTCTGACCTGAGATTCAAATCTTCCGTTGCAACACTACTCTGCGATCAACCCTGAGCGATCCTTCGCTAAGTCCCACTTGGGATTGTAACAGCTAGTCTATGTCGTTTCGTATTCCCCTGTACTCTTATTTATACGAATGCATTTGCAGATTTTTATTATTTCAGTCATTTTTCATCCACTCTGACCTGAGGTCAATCCCGCTGCAACACACTGTGCGAATTCCTGAGTAGATGCTAGGGACGATCAACTTCTGATCGCAACACTATTGTCCAAATGGGAAAGATTTCAACCCAACCCAATACTTTCTGAGATCTGGTTTCATGGGGATCTTGCATGGCGAACACAAACCGACGTTATCTTATCCCATGACTTGGTGTACCCTTGGAGGGAATGCTGGGTCTGGTGGTTCCCTGACGCTGGGAATGCTGGTGGTGTCAGGTTGCTCTGGTGTGGGAGATTTGCGCGGGCCTTGGCGGGTCGCTGCGCGTCTCCAAATGGGCTTGCGCCACGCGAGCAGCGATTCGCGATGAGGTTTCCAGGTCTCCAGCCCCCAGGCGAGTGTCGCAGCTTGGCCATGTCTGTCGCCACGGTTACCAAACAAAACAGTCGCCTGCAACGTTCACGAACAACCTTTATTGCTGCCGTGGCTCCCAATCAAGGATACCATCTGACTTCCCAGTTTTAGCACAACCGGCTAACCTCTCAAACCTGCAGTCTAGATTTGTTCCCATTCTTCCTCCACAGATCTGGTTCTCTCTCTGTCATCCTCGCAGCCATGGGGCTCACTTTTGGGAAGCTTTTTAATCGGTTTTTTGGAAAGCGTGATATGCGCATCCTGATGGTTGGGCTTGACGCTGCTGGTAAAACCACTATTTTGTATAAGCTGAAGCTGGGAGAAATCGTGACAACCATTCCTACTATCGGTATGCCCTAGACTTATCCTGTCTGCGTGATTCTACAGCACACTATTCGCAGTGACCTCGCCGACCCTGTTTTCATGGTCTGGTCCGTTAAATATGTGTTTTTGGTATCAGGGTTCAACGTGGAAACTGTGGAGTACAAGAACATCAGCTTCACCGTGTGGGATGTCGGAGGTCAGGACAAGGTTCGTGCCTGTTCCGGTTGTGTATCCTGATTGTTGAATAGCACTCTGGGATGTCGCTAACAGCTCGATATGGTATTTTTGCAGATTCGCCCTCTCTGGAGGCACTATTTCCAAAACACACAGGGTCTTATCTTCGTTGTTGACAGCAACGACAGGGATCGTGTGATGGAAGCTCGCGACGAGCTGCATAGAATGCTTAACGAGGTCAGTTCACGCATTTCTTCGTCAACGACGTTACTTTCAAATTCATAAGATCCTTCGTCTTAACCCTGTTCCGTTGATCCGTCTTTGATGTGGCTCAGGACGAATTGAGGGACGCGGTGTTGCTGGTCTTCGCGAACAAACAGGACCTTCCCAACGCCATGAATGCTGCGGAAATCACTGATAAGCTAGGCCTACACTCGTTGCGCCAGCGGCAGTGGTGAGTAACTTATTGTCACACGTTTTGGAAGAGTGTGCGCATAGGATGATTAGTAAACTCTCGTTCCTTATGGCGTGCTGCTAATGTCTTGTTACAGGTACATTCAGAGCACTTGCGCTACATCTGGTGAAGGTCTATACGAAGGACTGGACTGGCTCTCTAACAACATCTCGTCCAAGGCAAGACTATCGCTACTTCCCCCTCAACACGCCTCCCTCATTCTCTCGACCTACTCTCCCTCCCTCTCTCCACCTCTTATGCACACCCCCTAAGACGCACAAATTCATTTTCCGTCCATCCATGTCTGCCTTGTGGCAATTCCCCTTCCACACCATCTTCCACGTTCCTACGTTAGCTGTCTGTAATTCATGTCATTTTTGCTGTATGAGCAATCTTGCTGTGCATGCAACCTGGGTTTTTTTTCTGGCGTGGTTTCAGATGCATCCATTTTTTTGGTTGCCACTGCTGCAGGACTGATTCCATTTCTTTTGGATGCTACTGCTGCAGGACTGAGCATTGGAATCTTTTCCCCAAGCTGGAGAGTCTGAGATTCAGACCGTTTGCTGAACTTTCCTCTAGCGCACTGAAGATATTTAGTGTGAAGTTCTTTGTAGTGATCGTTATATCAACTATTATACGCATTCAGGAAGAAGTGGATAAGCATAGACACTCAGATGCAATGTGTTGTCGAATAGTCCTATTGATTTTTAACAGCCCTCATATTTCTCCTGGGTTTATGCCCATGTCACCCGGCGACGGGACTTGTGACGTGAAGGCTTTGCCAGCATTTCCAGTTCAAGCGGCTCTTCTTCCTCCACCTCCACGTGGTACGTGGCGCAGCAGCCGAACACACAGATGGACATCTGCGCACGAGCAGGTAAACGGGTTGTAAACTTCTCCTTGTGACGGCAAGAGAGATCCGGAAGGTTAGCAAAAGGGACAATCCTTACGAGGATGATGGTGAAGGCGAGGAGAAGATACGCCACTTTCATCCACTCGGTCTTCACATACTCCGCCACACCAGCCCTGCTCAGAGGCACACACAATGGCATTCAACCGCCCATTCACTTACACTACAAGGTAGAGAGAGTAAGGATGCATGGCATGTACTCATGCGCACTGTTCCGCACTGCAGAGGCGGCGGGTGCTGCCATACCTGCACGAATCGCAGGCGAAGCACATGGTGGAGTTGACGGCGCTGTACTTGGTGCAGTCGGGGTTGTCGCTGTGGGGGGGGGCTTCCTGCATGAAGATGGTCGCCGTCATCTGCCGGTACCCGCACCTGCAACCCACGTGCGCGCGCAGGGGAGACAAGGGACGGTACAGTACCACAGGGCGGAGGTTTGGCGCGGAAGAGAGGAAGGAGTGGCGCGAAGGCAGGACGTGAGGTGAGGCTGCTCGTAACGCGCCCAATGGCCCGCAGGTGCGACTGCTGTGCACACGACATGGTGGGCTGCACGCGACACTCGATGTCTTCTGCAGCGGGCGGACATGCGAGAGTGCGAGCCACGCACACGGGCGATACGTGCTGTGCGGACTTGTCGCCGTAACGGGTGCTGGTGAGCGGAAAAAGCGCGGCAACGCGTCAGAGCACGGCACTTACTCGATGGGCGGGCGGCAGCAGCCGGACTCGGTGGGGGAGAGCTGGGCAGCGTGGTACTGGGAGAGGTCCTGGCAGATGGACGAGGAGAAAGCGGGGGGAGCAAGGAGGGGCATTCAGCATGATTGGGTGGGAAGGCGTGTCTGTCCGTGCTGGTGTTAGCAAGGGTGGCGGCACGAGGGGTGGTGTGATCGAGCGTAGTGAGGCGGCGCGTGCGCGTGCGTGTGCGCGCGGCACTGACCGGGTAGCGCAGGTTGAGCTGCTGGCAGTAGGCGGCGTCCACCATGCACGCCTGCACGCGCTCCCACGTCCCCGAGTTGCGCAGCTGCCGCAGCACCGCCATCAAGGGAGCGGCAGGAAATGAGAGTGGGGAGGGGTAGGGGAAAGGAGGGGCTTTGAGAGACTGGGCGAGAGCGAGGAGACGAGACCAGACAGGGCAGGGAAGAGCAAGGAGCTGTGGAAACACGAAGCTTGCAGGTGGAAAATGGTGGCATTGGGGGCAGAATGTATAAGAACGTCGTCCTAGGTGATGCACAAGACGGGAAGGTGAGGAGGGGCATGGGAGGGCAGGAGCGTACCGTAGACTGCATCCACTTGGAATAGCTGTCCAGGTAGTACTGCTGGAACCTGGGGGGTGAGGCAAGAAGGGGGGAGTGGAAAGGGGGAGTTGGGAAGGGGTTGTAGAGCGGGAGCGAGGGGTGTTGGGGCGTGGGTGGGCAGGGGAGAGAAAAAACACCCCGCACAGCACGTGCATCAGGCGGGGAGGCGCAGTACTACCAGCGAATAGTGGAATGGAACTAGAGGAAGAGCGGGAGTGAGGTGAGGGTGAGTGTTAAGCGGGGCAGGCCGCAGAGCTCACTCAAGGCCGTTGACGGGCGTGCCGTGCCCGGGCTCGCTGACTGTGAACCTGCGTACAGACACGCGCGGAGGGAGACGAGGGGCGGAAGGAACGGAAGAAAAAGGGGATTGAGCGGAAGCGGGAGTCGTGGGTAGCACCAGCGTACACGAGAGGTAAGGAAATGGTGTGCACGAGGAATGACGTGCTGTGGTGAATAAAGAGTGGTTTGAAATTGAGGAGCACGGGAGCGAGGAAAGGAGCGAAGGAGGTGCGGGACGAGGTCGGTGGCGATGCGTACGAGAAGATGGTGAAGGCGAGGAAGACGAGGGTGATGACGGATAGAAGCACCATGTACTGCCGCGCACACACGCACGCACATACACACGCACGCACGCATGCATGCACCGGTGCAGGGATGCACATACACGCACATAGGAAACGGTCGGTCATGAGGCAAGCGAACGAGCAGTGCAGGGAAAGACGGGAAAGCGAGGATAGCGTGCGGGGCAGGCGGGGCAAGGAAAAGACGAGGGTTCGCGTGTGTGGAGATTGACAATACAGGGCCGAGATTGTGCGTATGGAGTGCCGCAGGAGCACGAAGTTAATACAAAACGGCAAGTCAGGCGACGTCAATGCACGAAGGGGGGTGGTGGAACAGGGGAGAGGGGAGGCGGGGAGGGTGCGGGAGAGGAGGGACGTACGATCCAGAGGAGGAACGACGACGTGCATGCCGTGCCTAGCAGGCCCAGCAGCGATCTGCCAGCGCGGGGCGTTGAAAGGAGGGGGCGGGCGGGGGGAGGGGAAGAGGGGGATGAGGTGTGCGGGACGCTTGTGATAGTTTAAGGTAACGAGAAAGCACTGGGTCGATACGACTGACTACTGGACGGGAGGGGGAAACATGAGGCGAAACAAGGGGGAGCGGGGATCAGGAGACCCGTAGGGTGAAGGTGTCCAGGTGAAATTGAGAGGTCCCAGGGGCGGGAGGCGAGAACGCACACGACGGTGACGAGGGAACCGAGCACGATGAGCGGCGTCTGGATGAACGCGAGACACGCCGTGGGCTGCTTCGAGTACAGCACGCCCGCCGTCACCAGCAGCACCACTCCCAACACCTGCGCACCGTTCCGAGGACGACAGAAGGCAAAGAATGTCGGGAGGGGAGATAGATGAAACAAGGACAATGTGAGTGGGAGGTGGAGAGGATTGATCCGAGATGGATGAGCGGCGGAGACAAGCGGCGAACCGAAAGGCCTGGTCGAGCAGAAGACGAGCAGCGTGGGAGGGTGACGCGGTGAGGGCTGTTAATGATCGAAATACGAGGCGCAAGCAGGATGATTGGGTGGGTTTCGTCGGGTGAGGGACGAGGAAGAAGAAAAGTGGGAGGCAGCAGGATGCTCGAAAGGTGGCAGAGCTTTAGTGTCGCACCAGCGTGAGGACATTGATCCATTTGACGAAGACCGTACTGCACCGATACGCCATGCTTCTTGCAGCGCCAGTGTCTGTTCTCGTGCTGTGGGCTGTATTCTTCCTGAACTAGGTAGACGGATTCGGAGTTTTAGGGGCAAAGCGCAGCTGGAATGTAGCGACTAACGTTTTTTTTTGGGGTTGGTGCTAGGGTGGTTTAGTGAGCTAGTGGGGGGAATGCGTTCATAGTTGGGACAGGAGGCTCGGAGGGCAAGGGCTTGTTGCAGGGTAGAGTTGGGCGGGTGGATGCCTGCTCGCCCCTTGCCTGGCTGTCATCGCTTTGAGCGGACGCAGCGCACATTCGACAGTCAAGGGGCAGTGTCGAGCCGCACCCGTTTCCAGTCACGTTGACGCAATTCGAGCTTCATACGCTAGCCACGTACCGCCAAGAAGCGAGGTGCGTGTTTCCACTAAGAAAACAGAGAGAATGGTTATACCGTACGAATATTACATCTACTATACCATGTCTTGAAGTGTATGCCATAACGATAGGGTTTTGTAAGGAAAAACCCTTTTCCTTACAGGGGTTTACTCAACCGCGTACAACCCCAACTTTCGGAAGTGCACGTTCGGCCACTTTCCTTGCTGCCGAAGCAACCTCGCGTCGCCTTCGGCCTTTCCTTTGCCCAACCTGCACCCAACCTCGTGTTCCCGAGGTTCCCGCCTAGCTAGGTTGGCCCACTATATTAGCGCGTGCCTTCATTGTATTGTCAGTTCATTGAGTCACATCTTCGTTATTCGTTATTCCGCGCACTCTCTTACAACTCATAACACCTGGTATCAGAGCTACTTTCCTAGTTCACCCCGCTTTTCGAGGGTAGTTTGGTGGCACGGGTGTGGTCGGTATAGTGGACTACACGACGGTTGGCTGCAAGGTTTGTTAATTCAATCCTGCCCGACTCCGATAGTTCGTGTTTTCCACTCACCGGAGGGCCACGGATACCCCTCTGCCCACCAGACGAAGCGTGCGACTCATGGACCAGGAGACATTGAACAAGATGCTGGCGCAAATGGCAGAGCTACAGGCAACAGTGCGGACTCTATCGGCAGAAGTGACAACACTACGAGGAGAAAACGCTGAGCTACGCCAGACGCGAGGTGAAGCGCGTCAGGAGTCGCCCGATGAAGAAGGCGAGGCCAACAGTCAAGCGGTGAGCAACCCGTTGGACGCGCTCACACGTGATTTCGAAGAAGAAGATAGGCAGCGAGCGGCAGCGACGCCAATTGCAGTAACGACGATCAAGATTAAACCCGTCAACCCGCCCCCGTTCAACCCTACGGACAAGACTACTACAGTGAAGGGGTGGCTTTTCGGCGTTGAAGTCTTCTTCACTGCAGCAGGCGTGAACGACGACGCCACGTATTAATTACGCAGTTTCTCTTCTTCGAGGCGCAGCGCTTGAGTGGTGGCGCCGAACCTTGGACACGGGGACCCCGACAGGTGTGACACATGCGGTAGACGGGACTTCAACAACGGTTAATCAAGTGGCAGCACCGATATTCGGCGTGACCAAGATACGCACGTGGAAGGAGTGGGGCGCAGCCTTACGAGATCGCTTCGAGCACATATCCGGCTCGGAACAAGCTCGCATGAAGCTGCGTGCCTGGTCGCAGTTGGCATCTATCCAAGACTACACAACGTCATTCATGGCACTCGCCGACCAAGTGGACGACATGTCGGAAGCGGAGCGGTTAGACAAGTACGTCAGCGGCCTCAAATACGAGATACAGTATGAGGTGCGCCGATGCCGGCCGACATCGTTCCTGGAAGCAGCACGGTTGGCAGAATCCACGGACGCGCTGATGCAGTACGCGAGGTCGAGTTCCCGGGAGGGAAATCGTTTTCGTGGCCAGACCCAACGGGCCACGATCAACGGAGTCCATGCACCAGACCGCCCCTACACAGGGTTGTGTTTTAAGTGCGGGAAGCCGGGTCACAAATATGCAGACTGCCCCGAGAAAACGCCGGCGAAGAGGAACGACGGGAAAGAGCCGGGAAATGGGAAGAGTCAGTAACAGACGGGCCCCTTACTGACTGTGCTCTTTCGCCCGAACACCATCATCCCCACCGAGTCGTGGTTCCGATTCATGCAATCGATCGCACTCGGCCGAATAACGGGGATAACCATGTGGATCACCCTGTGCTGGTCGTTGGCAAAGTGTTAAAAAATTACTTGAAAATGTTCGTCGACGGAGGGGCCAGCCATAGCCTCTTCAACTTGGCGACAACAAAAAAATGCAAGCTGCAACTTGACAGGTGTCTGCCCGAAATCGACGCTTGCCTCGTGGATGGGACGCCTTTGGCGATTTTGGAAGAAACACGGACGGTTCGGATCGACTGCGGCGACGATTTCGGCTTCAGCATGAAGTTTCTCGCGACAACGTTGGACGGCTGCGACGTGCTGCTGGGACGTGATTGGCTGCGACGGCACAACCCCGTCATCGACTGGACAACGGGATCGTGTAGCATCAGCAAGCACGAGGGGCTCATTAAATTGCCTGCATGGACACCTGACTACATCCAAGCCCCGTGCGTCAAGGCAATCACTATTGCTCGCCACTTCAACCGAGGCGCGCAGCTGTTCGCCGTATGTTTGCGCGAGTTGGCAACCGACACCGACGGAAAGGACATCGAGAAGCTGTGCACAGCTGTACCACCTGATTTAGCGGAGCTGATTCGACAGTACCCGGACATCTTCCCTGACGATTTGCCACCTGGACTGCCACCAGAACGCCCCGAGGACCACAAAATCCAGCTGGAGCCTGGCGCGCAGCCGACTGTTCGTACACAGTGGCGGTTGACCCAACCGGAACTCGAGGAGCTGCGACGACAAATTGAGGGACTTTTGGAGAAGGGGTTGTCACAAGTATGAGGAAAAGTTTAGAAGCAGAAAGAGGGATTTGCACTAGCAGCAGTTGAGATACATATAGGAAACCCTAATTGGGTTGTACTCGCTATGCAGTACCCCACTGCAGGCTAGACAATTACATCATTCTGACACACCCCCATAGCCAAAGTGGGGTGTAATCAACACAACAAGCAGTCATAAAATAGTTCACAAGCCCAAGTAAAGCTAGAGGTAGTCACAGAGGGCATGTGAGGAGGAGGAGGGACTTTGAGAGGAGAGGAGATGGGAGGCGACGGCGGAAGCTGCAGACACACAGGAGCTGCTGGCTCAGTGGCTACCGAAGCAATGGCCCGGACTACAGGAGTAACTGGCTCCGCGGAGATTGTAGTCTCCTGACTGGAGCAACTGACCCACAGGCGACTGGCGACTACCGGAGATTGTAGCCTCCGGACTGCTGGTGCTGCTGGCGACACGACTGCGACCTCCGCTCAACCTCCGCCAACTGCCCCACGCCCCTAGCACACACCCCCTGCTGCACCCCTAGCTCCACTCCCACGTCACCCCCCTAGCACCACTCCTTCGGCTCCCACACACCCACCCCCCTGAGCGGCAGCTGCAGCAGCGGGAGACGGAGGAGGAGGAGGAGCAGGGGACCGCGCACACCCGCCACCCCCATACCCGTCACCCCCATACCCTGAGTGTGCGGTAAGTGAGCTCAGGTGTGCGCGAAGCGTGCACAAGTGTGCGGGAAGCGAACTCGAGTGTGCGGTAAGCAAACGCAGGTGTGCGGGGAGGGGGGGCCGCAGGGCGACACGCGGGTCGACGGGGATGGGCGCACGGGTCGCCGAGGGCGGCGCGCGGGTCGACGGGGCCGCCGCGAAGGGCGACGGGGAGTCGTGCGCGGGTCGACGGGGCCGCCGCGAAGGGCGACGGGGAGCCGCGCGCAGGTCGACGGGGACGGGCGCGCGGGTCGACGGAACGCGAAACCGCCGCGTGCGCCCAGGGTGCGCGGTGGGCAGGAAACCGCCACGCGTTCCGAGCGCATGGCGGGCAGAAAACCGCCGCGCGAAGCAGGAAACCGCCGCGCGCCTCGGGGCGCACGGCGGGCAGAAAACCGCCGCACGCCCCGAGCGCACGGCGGGATGAAAAACGCGGCGCGCTCCGAGTGCGCGGCAGGAAGAAAGGGTCGCGCGCCCGGGGCGCGCGACAACAGTAGAGCAGCGGAAGCATCGGGTGGGGCCCACCCACAGGATCGACCCAGGAGGGTCGACCTGCTCTGATAGCATGTCACAAGTATGAGGAAAAGTTTAGAAGCAGAAAGAGGGATTTGCACTAGCAGCAGTTGAGATACATATAGGAAACCCTAATTGGGTTGTACTCGCTATGCAGTACCCCACTGCAGGCTAGACAATTACATCATTCTGATAGGGGTTTATCCGACCCAGTACATCTCCCTTCGCAGCCCCGATACTGTTCACGCCGAAGAAGGATGGCGGGCTTCGCATGTGTATCGACTATCGCGCGCTCAACCGGGTGACCATCAAATCTCGCTACCCAATCCCACGCACCGACGACCTCCTCGATCAACTTCGCGGCGCTCGCTACTTTTCGAAAATCGACTTGCGTGGCGGTTACCACCAGATTCGGGTCTTCGCCGACGACTGTCACAAGACCGCGTTTCGCACCCGCTACGGAAGCTACGAGTTCACAGTGATGCCGTTCGGCCTCACAAACGCGCCTTCGACATTTCAACTGACCATGAACAGGATTTTCCGGGAATTTCTCGACAAGTGTGTGATCGTCTATTTGGACGATATTCTGATTTTCAGCAGGACAAGGGAACAACACCTCCGCGACCTCGACGCAGTGTTTAAGCGGTTGCAGGAGAACCGCCTCATCACCAAGGGCTCTAAGTGCGAGTTTTTTAAGCAGGAGTTGGAGTTTTTGGGGCACGTCATCTCCCGCGACGGCATCAAAATCGACCCGGCGAAAATCAAGACCATTCAGGAGTGGAAGTCCCTGACTAACATCACGGAACTTCAGAGTTTTTTGGGATTCGTGAACTACGTCAGGCGGTTTATCCCGAATATGGCGAGGATAACCGGCCCGCTGACCGACCTGCTGCACAAGGACAGGAATTTTGTGTGGGGGGAGGAAGCTGAGGCG